GACATCTTACAGAAGAAGTTTATATGCGTCAGCCGCCAGGTTTTGTTCACCCATCTTTTCCCTCTCATATATGTTGGCTGGCTGTGCAAAGCACTATACGGACTTAAGCAAGCTCCTCGTGCCTGGTTCCATAGATTTACTGGATTCCTTCTTTCTCATGGCTTTTGCCAAAGTCAGTCTGACTCTTCCATGTTCACTTATCGTTACCAGTCCCACACTATCTATATACTGTTATATGTGGATGACATTCTTATCACTGGTAGCTCCTCCTCTTTGGTTCGTCATTTTAGTCATATTTTATCCAGTCAGTTTGCTATGAAAGATTTGGGGGACATACATTATTTTCTTGGTATTCAGGCTCATCGTACTCCCAAAGGCATGTTTCTCTCTCAACAAAAATATATTACTGATCTTTTGCAGCGTTTTCATCTTCATACGGTAAAACTTGTCCGTACACCTCTCCCATCACGCACTACGCTATCTCTTACAGATGGGGATCTTTTAAGCGATGGTACTGAGTACCGCAGTATGGTAGGTGCCTTACAATACTTGACTATTACTCGTCCTGATATTACTTATGTCGTACATTTGGTTTCTCAGTTTATGCATGCACCTCGTACTACTCATCTTGTTGTTGTTAAAAGAATATACAGATATTTGCAGGGCACTACCACTCACGGCTTATGGCTTCGATCCGGACAGAGTATTTCAGTCATTGTTGCATATTCTGATGCCGATTGGGCAGGATGTCCGGATAGTTGTAGATCCACCACTGGGTATGCTATTTTCATTGGTGGGAATCTTATTTCTTGGAGATCAAAGAAACAGCCCACGGTATCCAAATCTTCCACAGAAGCGGAATATCGTGTTGTTGCATACACTGTGCAGGACACTCTCTTCATCCGCTCGCTACTTGCGGACATGGGCATTTACATCTCTACACCTGTTCAGTTGTTTTGTGATAATGTGTCTGCCTCCTATCTTGCAGTTAATCCGATCCAGCATGACCGCAGCAAACACATCAAAATAGACTATCATTTTGTTCGTGAACGTGTTGCACATGGAGATTTGGCCGTTAAATACATTTCTACTCAATATCAGTTGGCCGATATTTTTACCAAAAATTTAAGTAGTCAGCGTTTTGAGTTTTTACGTTCCAATCTGCACGTGGTTTCCCCTGCACAGATTGAGCGGGTGTAATAGAATATTATAGGGACTCTTATGTAAATACTCATTTATTTATTAGTATATATATGATGCTAGGGCTCCCAAAGAGGGTAAGCCATTCTATTCCCACAATTATTCTTTCATAAACTCCAGCGACGGTCGTCCAGCCATCGCAACCCTAGGTTCTTCGCGCCGCATCTGAAATCAGACATAGCAGTAAACAACAAAATTACCCGGCTGTACCGTGCGCACAATACAACCGGCTGTATGGTGTAATTTATCCACAAGTACAACTCCATAATTAATTTAGCAGGGTTTAATGCATCAAACCCGATTGTGAAATATAAATTCGGCGCATTAGCCTCAATGATTTTAAAAATGCGTCAAACCCTCATGTGTTATCATTAATCATGCGCCATACCCCCTCCAAGAACAAAAATAATTTCAGAGAAGATGAAAGATGATTAGTTTTTTGTATAATTTAGAAATTTTGACAAAGTTACTTACATATTCAACCATATTATTAAAAAAAGTGATTTCAAAATTGTTAAATTTGTTCTTGAAGGGGGTTTTGCGCATGATTAATTAAAACACAGGGGAGTTTGACACATTTTTTAAAACACAGGGGGCTAATGCGCCGAATTTATATTTCACAAGGGGGTTGGTGCATTTAACCCTAATTTAGCATCAAATGAACCGTACTTTTGGTCAACCAACAACGAGCAACTCCAATGCAAGGGTCTGGGTCTCTTACACACTCTTACGTATGAGTCCCATTTTTTATCTCACAATTTTTATGTGTAGGACCCACATATTCCTAATTTATTTTCATTTTTAATTTTTTATATCACTTTTAATCCAATTTTCATCAACTTTTCCTCCTCGGATCCTGTGTAAGGTTTATATATGGACCTTGTCATAGACCTTGGTCCATTTATACCTCTATCTCTCTCCTCTTTTTCATTTTTTCCAACATAGCACTTCATCCAAATATTTATTCTATCTCTATCTCTCTCTTATGCCACATCAGCTGCAATGCACCGTCCCATTGGAGATGCTCTACAAAGGTCGGTCTCCTAAAACCTGACCCAATTTTGAGCCGCTACTTTAGATGGGATGACCATTTTTTCTCCTGTCTTTCCCATCTATTCTATTTATATATAAGAAAAGAGATAGCTCTTCCCATTATCATTTTGTCCTCAAAAATTGACACGTGGCTATCTCTCCATATTCTACTCCTTTTCTTAATTTCTGCCAAGTGGCAACGTATATAACTCTCTTTTCAATTCCAAATTCTAATTAGAATTAGAACGCCAAAAACATCAAAGGAGGAAGGTAATTGGTGGGTCCCATTATATGAAAAATTTATTTTATTTTTAAAGTGTTATAACTTTTTTATTTTTAATCCAATGTTTACAAAAATCATATCAAATTTCGTGATTTTTTATGTTCTTTCATATGACATGAATATTGCTTATATAAAATTCAAAAAAAAAAAATCTGAACACTTATTAAACAATCTTCTAATTTTATAGCGTCAATACGAATTATTCTGTACTAAATAAAGAAAAAATTCCTAATATATGACCAAGATAGGGATAGTGGATAAACGTATGAATTAGAAGTTGTTCTCTTTGTCTGATCTGAATGTTTCTAATCTGAATGTTTTAAGATCTGATTTGATCTGAATTTTTCTGATCTGATCTGAATCTTTCTGATCTAATCTGATCTGATCTGAATATTTCTGATCTGATCTGATCTGAATCTTTCTGATCTGATGTAGTATAATTTTCTCTCTCATATATAGTATTTTTAGATAGAAGATAAGCCGACTAACAATTGAGCGAACTATTTTTCTCTCTCTATGGAGTGCTTTGAAGTATAAAATAAGTCGGTTTACAATTGAGTGACCAAATTTTCTCTCTTATATGTAATGCTTTGAGGTATATGATAAGCCATCTCACAATTGAGTGAGATAATTTTCTATCACATATATAATGCTTTTGTGTATAAAATAAAATTTCAGGTATAAGAAGATTAGGTCATAATGAACAAGGCTAACAATTGCTTGAGATAATTTCCTCTATCATATACTCTCTCCGTATCATATTAGTTGTCACATTGGAATTTACACACTATTCATGTACACTACTTTGACTACCTTTTATTTATTATTGTATGTGAATTATTTTTTTGAAAAATATTGTTGAATTCATCTCATTATAAAGTTTCATAATTTGATTTTTATTTATTTTTAAATATAATGATGGTCAAAGTTGTGCATTAGGTAGCGTGAAAAAGGAAAAGTTGCATCTAAAAAATAACGGAGGACAGTATAATATTATTAGGTAGAAGATAAGTCACCTGACAATTGAACGAGAGAACTCCCTCTCTATGCAATATGTAGTGCTTTTCGATATAAGGTAAGTCGACTAACAATTCAATGAGATAAATTTCTCTCTCATATGTAGTGATTTTAGATATAAGAAGATAAGCTTGCTAATAACTAAGCGAGAGAATTTTTTCTCTCATATGTAGTGCTTGGTATTAGAAGATATGCTTGCTAACAATTGAGTGGGATAAATTTCTATTTCATATGTTGTTTTGTTTAGTATATAAGATAAGATAAGCATACGCCAACAATTGAGCGGAAATTCTCTTTCATTTTTTTAAAATATGATAGCAATTTATAGAATGCTATACTGATATTGTATGGATGTATTCATGTTGTGATATAGGCGCCAGTAACAAATTAAAATGTCTTAATAGTTTGAGTTTTCTTTAAGCTAATTTAGTTATATTTTCTAAACATTACCGTGTTTGTTTTTCGGCATGTGGGTGCAAAAACGCTGCATTTTGCAACGTTTGTAATTATAAAAAGTTGGCATTTTGGAGTAAAAGGGTGCCATCCAAACATCTTCATTATTTGAGAACTTGAAAACCTAACATGAGTTCTATGAATAGTCCCAAAGATTACAAATTTGCTCTAGACATTTTAAAGAAAGTTGCTTTTATTTTGACGTTTCTTTTACTCTATAATCTTTGATATTCAGACTAGTTCACCTGGATTGCTGAGAATCATTTACAAAGCACAAGCTTTCCTCTAGGGTGTTATATAATTACATTCAAGTGATATTCATTAATTTTAATATTATTCACTTAAAATTCATGTCATTCACTTATTGTATTCACTTTTTTAGAATAGTATTTTATTTTAAATAAATTTAATCGTGAAAATAAATAGGTTGCCAATTCTAATTAATAATGGGATATTTTGACTTTGCACCCCATTTTTGGGTGATATTAGACTTTGCATCCCATTTTTAAAACTCTTAGACTTTGCACCCCATTTTCCCTAAAATGTCTTTGCCTTTGCACCTCATCCAGGAAATTTTCTTCACAAAATGTTGTAGACAGAGTGCAATGTCTACAAGTTTTGAAAATGAGATGCAAAATTCAATATCACCCAAAAAGTAGGGTGCAAACTCAAAATTCCCCTTAATTTTTCCTAATATGCTCTTTATGATATTAGATTATTGCACTCTTATTTTTCGAAAATGTAAATTCCTAAAAAATTATTTTTATTTTAATATTTAATTAGATTATGAGTAAAAATGTATGCACCAACTGCTTTTTCCCGTGCGTATGCACGGGGGAGCGTAATTTTGTACACCCCACTAAGGAGGGTGATGTTCACCCCCTTTGTTCTATGGTTGGCAAGTGGCATTCCATCCCGTCCCATCCCATCTCATTGTGAAGTATTGCCTTGCCATACGGGAGACAAATAAGGGTGAGGTTGAAAATAACCCTCTCAAATGAGGGTGACCTGAATTAATAACCTCTAGTTAATTTATCCAATCCAATTATAGCCGAACGTTGAGGACGTCGTCGTTTTTCGTTTGTTCAACCATCATATCCCCAAATTTGAAAATATATGCGCGCCCGTGCGACCTGAAAATTTTCCAATCGCCGGCTCTCTCAGAGACACAGGTAGAGTTGTGATGAAATGGAACCTGTAACAGCCGGTGCGCTTCCAGTGAAGATGACGGCCGTTGAGAAGCTATTCGCACAGATCTTTGAGCGGAAGACTTCGATCCTCCAGCAAGTGAAGCGGCAGACTGATTTGTACAGCCAACACCTCGCTTCCAAACTCCTCATTCAAGGAATTACTCCTCCTTCTTGGCTGTGGAACCCCTATCAATATTCGAATCTCAAGGGTACACCATTATATGATTCTTTCTTTTGAGCGTTTGAGAGTTTCTCTCGGTTATATATGCCATTACTCTAGGATTTACTATTGTAGTAGGGTTCCATTTTGGTCGTGGACTAGTTTAAGAATTCGAGAAATGAAATTTTGTTTTTAGTGATTTCTGACCTCAGGCTATATCCAAAGGTGACACTTTTGTGGCTTTGGATAATTATTTTTCCAATATTCAGTTTTAATTAAAATATTAATAGAAGTTCAATTTCGTTGTTCATAAGTTATCAATTGATTTTGTATATTGTATCTGACACGGAAGAATTGTTTTGTTGTATTTATTGTTTGCCAGAGCTGAACAAAGATCAGCTGATCTCTGATATTGTACTTCCCCGTGCCTGGCCTTCTACATGTGAGGATGCTCGTTACTCCATATGTAAGGGGAGAGTGGTCACCGGAAATAATGCGGAGCTATCAGATGGGGCATTTGTGGAAACTCGTGCTTCCAGTGCAGATCTTCAAGATGGAGTGGGGGCTGCGGGGCCAAGTAGTCCAGCTGTTGTCTATAATAGCAACAATGAATGTGCTCTCAGTTCACTTCCTCAGCTGGATGCAGGTGTTACCATGCCTCAAGATGAGATAGATACAAGACTGGAAAGCACTTCAGCTGCTCCAGATCAGTCTCTAGTTAAAATTCAAAGGTCTAAGTCTAGACAAAAGGCTCTAGAACTACGTAATAGCGCAAATGGAAAAACTAGGAGCCACTCAAGCATTAAGAATAAATCTGATGTCACCTCTACTGGTATTGATTTTTCTGCTTCTTTGTCAGAACAAATCCCCGAGCCCCACAAATTTCCTGAGCAATCTATGCCTGTTAGTGGTCACTATGGGCTCCCAGCAGAAAGGAGTAGTCCAGAGAGTGAAAATTTGGTTGATAACTGTGCTGATAGACTTACGAGGTCTGAACAAGTTACTGAGCCCCACAAATTTCCTGAGCCTTCTATGTCTGATATTGGACTGCTCGATCAATTGGTGAAAGTGGTAAGCTCATCTGATATTACTGCTGAAATCCATGATGGGTGCAATGCAACAGTTAAATGCTATAGTTGTCCGCAGGAAAAGGTAACAGGCACCTATTGTGGGAGGACTACAAAGTCTATGAGTTCTATCCAGCAGCGCTCTTCCATCAGGGAAACTCTACAGGTGGATGCATGCTCTTACTTAGCCAAGGTGACTGAGAACACAGCTTCTCAATCTTCCAGGGAAACATCAGATAAGCTTGTTGATACTAAGAAGCAATTGGAATCCGTTCAGTCTTCTTTTGAGGTAGACAATAGAAGCTCAGAGCCACAATGTTATTCTGGTTGTGAAGTCATACCAAGTCTTGATAATGTAAATAGCATTGCTTCCCTTGTTGCTGGGACCAAGTCTGCTGCTTCACAGAAGTCACCGTGTGTAAACCAGTACGTTCAGGATGTGCCTCATGATAATGTCATCTTGATAAGTCCTGTGAAGTGTGGTGCCTATAATCAGCTGGGAAATGTGGAAGCTGATGCATCAAAGTGTAGTGTTCCTCAATATAGTCTGAGTAAAACCAGTGAAAGAAAAGGCTTGGAATGTCTAGCTGCAACTCTTCCTTCTGATTGCCTAATGCAAGTGAAGCCAAAGCAACTTGACTTTGATGACATGGAAGAGTTTAACTTGAAGGGGCACACTCCTTGTAATTCTGAAGATGTAAACTTGGACGTAACAAACAAAGAGAGAAGTTGTACTCCACTAAATCGTTTCTCATTGAGGGATGTACCTTCAAGCAGTCCACATATTACAATTTCAGAAAAGAATGCCAATCTGAAGCATGATTCTGGTAACAAAGTAACTAGACTTTCAATCTTACCCGTCGAGCTCACCCTTCAAGACCATGACAGATCTAAGAGATGTGCATCGGACATAAAAGTACACACTCCAAAAGGTCTAGGTGATCCAGAGGCCTTGCCGTGTTTTGGAAATTCTAATATCCCACCTGGAGATTATATGCTGTCAAAGACTTCTAATAGTTCTGATGCCAAGCGTCATCATAGGAAGCGTAGTCCAAGAGATAGATCAGAGTCTTTAATTGAACCATACCTAGAAGTGGTATGACCCATCCATATTTCTTTTATTTACAATTTATTAAGACATATTTAATCTTCTCCCAGTGAACCTGAAGTTTTGCTGACAATTATGTGCTTCATTGATCCATGAGATCTGGTGTAGTCAATAGCTTTGCTAGGGAACTTTTGAAGCAACTTCTTGTGGTGCTCTTACTTTTTCTGATTAGTTATCAGGCTTAACAGTATTCTGTGAGTACTATTTTTTGTGTCTCCACTATAGTGCATCACAATATATGCAATAAATTAGCCCTGTATCAGGGTGGTGAACATAAATGATTGTCTATGGATTCCTCGTTAGATAATAGGAATATTAAATTTAAGATCATAAGTTATTGCTTTATGCTGCTTGCTTTATCCTTCTTTTCAGTACTTCTCAGTTACCTATCCTATCATCAGATGTTTCATGTTTGGAATTGCATATGTATTTTGGAAAAGAAGAAACTCTGTGTTTGTAGAGTAGTACAATTTTCCTGAAATAATTATCTTAAAAGTTCTTTTTGAATTGCTATTATTGTGTAATACTCCCTCTATTCTAACAATTTCTTCCTATTTTCCTTTTGGGCTGTCCAGAAATATTTTTCCCATATCCTTTTAAGGAATGAATTTTGTAGTTAATATTGTTTCTACCTTTTATAAATAAACCTCAACCACACAAATTTACTTCCCTAATAGCTGTGCGATCTGCCAAGTCAATGCGGGAATGTTTTTTAGGACGGAGCCAGAATAATTACACCCCATAATGATATAGTTGTGTACATGTAGTAGATTATTACCCAACCATGTTTTTAATTCTTTCAAGCTTAATTTCTATCATTTATATAGGGAGTTTCTGAATTTGAAAGGCATGATGAAGGTATGTCCTGTGCAAGTAAGAGTAAAACTTTTGCAGCGTCTTGCATCTCAAAATTGACTGATATGTCTACTGGAGATCATCAGAAGTGGTTCGATGATGAAATTCCAAATGAAGATATAATGACGAGTTCATCTGCTCCTGGAGGACATCTTTATGTTCAGGGTAATCAAGCTTGTCTTAAAAAGCAAATTTCCTTTTCGAGACTTTCCAAGTTAATGTTAGCAAAGAGCTTATTGACTATATATTACATGTTTTATAGGGGATAGATGCAATGATACAAATCTCAGACTTCCTGAATCAAAGAAAACTGAAACTGCCAAGGATTTTCCTTTGCTCGAAAGGAAATTCATATCTGCTACAGTTTATTCTTGGCCGCAAGTGAAGAGGAGAAAGCTTGAAGATCAACTAAGCAGTTGCTTTTCTGCCTCTCACAATTCCCAGATGCCAAAATATTGTAACATAAAAATGTCCCCTGAGAGCATAGATGTGGATATTATTGAAAAGCAAGTAAAAGATGTATTGAAAGAAGATTCTTGTGTAGGCAGCCTAACTAGTGAACTATCCCCAATGGTGGACCACCATGCACCAGAAGGATTGAGTTTGAACTTAGTCGATTCTAATAACTGCATGTTTAAGGCAAGAGATCCAGAATGTGCAACACTAAATACAGATGGACGCTACATACCAAATGAACAAGTACATGATGCTACCGTTCTCGATGATGGAGTACTCCAGGTGTCAAGTAAAATGAAAGAAGCAATCGGTGATAGTCCTGGTTGCATAATTGAGAAAACAGGGGGAGAAATCCCGACTGGCCCTAATTTTGATGCAAGTAAGCGATCTGATGAACTTGATATCAAAAGTGCCTTGAATCATAAGAATGGTACTGGTTTAATAGATAATAGTGGAAGCATAAGTTATACAGGGAAAATAGTTCTAAAACATAACTCTAACTTTGTTGAAGACAACATTTTTCCACATTCTTTCTTTCATTCGTCACATGATCAAGTAGTGAATACTCATAAGGTTGATACTTTACCCATGTATGAGGGTTTCATCATTGATCCCCCGGTAGCAGATGGAAAACTTGATATGTCTGAAGCTGGAATTAACTTTGAAGCGTTAGCCCTTTCAGAGACTACAATCGAGCGTGCTAGCATACTGGAGCAGATTTGTAGATCAGCTAGCATGCAGAGACCTTCATCTGATCTATCATCTGCTCTCAAATTGCACAGGTCGCACACCTTGTATCAATCACTGCCTGAAGGTCTTCTTGAACAAGGGGACTTACGAAGCACCTCATTTTTTACTGAAGATAATGATAAACAGTTAAGACACAGTACCAATTGTGCAGAGGAAGTCAGGGATGAGGTTAAAGAAATGTCATATTCGGATTGTGTAGGTTACTCGGGTGCCATTTTCAAGTGGAAATCAGGAAGTCCGTATGCATCTCCTGTTGGAAAGCTATGGGAAAGAACCTCATCGCATTCTGGCAGTTTAAAGAAACAATTGAGCTCAAACCCAGAGCTTACTTGTTTCCCCATCAAGGAGGACTCCGCAATTGGTGAGGGAAATGAGAACATGGATAAACTGGCTGATGAAGTCCAACATGATATTGATTCCTTGGTTGGAAATAGTGATGCCGAAAGAAATCCACATTTTGATGTAGCCAGTGCATGCTTGAATCCTCTTGCATCAGTATCTGCAGTAAAGAAAAAGGTTCAAGCTGGTGGTAGAATGGACTTCGTCAAATCTGACGTAGATTTGAGTGCAACACATAATAATGTCAAAAGAAAGCTTCGAAGCCATTCTAGAAATGTAAGTGAGGGAAAGGAAAACCAACCTCTAATGATGACTGGAAAGAAAAAAGAGAAGCTGTCACATTCCAATGCTTCCAAGAAGCACAAATTATCATCAGCTTCCTGTTTGAGGAAAAAGGAGGAGAAACTTTCAGAGAGATGGCATAAACATGACAACATTGTGTCAAATCTTACTTCATTTATACCACTTGTCCACAAAAAACAAGCAGCTACTCTGTGTACAGGTAATCCTAGATATTTTTATGTATATATTCCAAACAAGGTTGAAGCTTTTTTTTTTTTTACTCCAGGGGGGTCTGGGGGCCTGGAATAATCAGGGTTGAAACTCACTCCATTGAGTTTCAAACCCTTATGTGCCTAGCGGGTTTCGAACTCGAGACCTCCCAGTAGGCACGGTAACCTCACAACCAACTAGGCTAGAATGCTTGGTTGTTGAAGCCTTTTGATTTTGAGAACATGTATGTTTGCTTTCCCAAAGATTTTTAATCGGTCCTGTCCTTCCAGGTTCCAATAGAGATAAGCATAAATATGAATTTCTTGCTAAATTGGAAATCATTCAATAACTATCCAAGCAGCTTCATCATGTTAACTTGGTTATCATTGCATGATAATAACAACTCTACTTTTTTTTTCAAAAAAATGCATTTTCATTAGGGTAAAACTATATTTCCTTTCTCACTTTGGGTTCAAATTGTGGGGATCCTGCCGTAATGCACTTTGTTTTGTTGATTTAAGTAATTATTATCAAGGAAGCATGTAGCATGACCAATCAAGTTTATCCATTATTAAGGACCTTTTGTGCAGATTTGTCCAGTCTATCTATTATTGTACAGGAAAAAAAGACTTAAAGATTAAGGCTCTGGAGGCAGCTGAGGCTGCCAAACGTCTTGAAGAGAAAAAAGAGATTGAACGTAAGAAGAGGAAAGAAGCTGTTAAGCTTGAAAGGGCACGATTGGAGCAAGAAAATTTAAGACAGCTAGAAATAAACAAACAAAAGAAACGAGATGAAAGAAAGAAAAAAGAAGCTGAAGTTTTAGCAAGGAAAAGGATGAGGGCTGAAGAGGAGAAAAATGACAAGGAGAAGAAACGACTTCGAATTGGAGAATTGCGGAGACAGCAAAATGAGGAGGAAAAATTCCGTGTGAAAAAAGTAGATGTTGAAAAGAAGTGCTCTGCTATTGTAAGATTCCTTCTACCTAATTATGTCAGCTTGTTGATGAAACATAAGTTACTGTTGTGACATGATATTTTCCAGGTTGGAAAACCAATACATGCTGAAATATTGGAAAATGACAACTCAGGAGCCACAGTTTCTCATGACAGCCTCGACACTTCAGACGATCAAAGTCAACATGAAACGGTAGAAACAATGGATTATTATATACGTAGTATCATTTTAACGTGGATGTTCAAATTTGTGGACATCACTCTTTTATTTATGGCAGCATACTTAGGCTTTAAAAGTTTAAATATGGTTCTGTAAAAGTCATCCAGTAGCTGCATTGCTATACATCTAACCATAAACAGTTCCTCTTCTGGCCGTTTCTCTAAACAAGATAATAGGCACTGTTTTTTGATGGTTTAAAAACATTCTGCTGTGCTATACTTCCTTACATGAACGATTCAAAACCTTAGTTGCCTGTTGTCACTTGAAAGGTGAAATTCTTTTAACCCCTCTAGATCTCCTGGAATCCTGCATTACAGGAGACTTGTGCATGAATTTTCTGTCAAAAGTCAAAGCCTCTAACCGCATGTCCAAAAAATTTGATAAATAGCGGACCTACAAGGTTATGTAATTTTTAATTTCAGACTTGTTTGCCTAGTTGGTCCATGTGCATGACTTTGAGTAGTTCTTTTTGTGCTGACAAGCTTTGTTTATTTTTCCAAGAAGCTACATGCCAATTTGGATAAACAAGATCAAAACTTCACTTCCATGGGAGCTCAATTGAAGTCATATGAGATTTCTCCGTATAAATGTTCAGACGATGAAGATGAAGATGAAGATGAAGATGAGGAAGAAACCACACAAAAACCTATTCCCTCATGGGCCAGGTAATTAAGTTTTAACTATAATGCAAGCTCTGTTGCCAATCCTGATTGACAATTATTCTTGTTTTGATTTTTAAATCTCAACTGATGATATATTATTATTACCCCAAGCTGGGAAGCTGCTAGTTCTTTTGGGGTACACATGTTTCTTCAATGAGGCCATTAAGTTGGCATTCCATCAATTTTAGTTATTGACTTGAATTTTGATATGCTGATCTTTGATGTCTCCAGCAAAAGTTGCGTTGCTCGGTTTCTTTCCTTTCAGCAAGAAATTGATCCTGACTTGATATTTCATCCAAATAGTTTATGCAGTATGGATGAAGGTAAGTTTCTCCGTGTGATGGAGCAAGCTCAAATTCTTGCATTTTATATTAAGCATCTCTAATCAGTGTGATTACTGAAACATAAACTTAAGTTCCCAAATAACCTCCATGTAAGTCCACATTGTATGTCTTGACTTCTTTAAAATCCACATAAATTAAGATATGGTAAAAATCCTGAAGCAATAGTAACACCCGTTTTATAACCTAAATTCTTACACAGGTCAAAACTATATTGATTAACTTTTACATGTCATCAGTTTGGTGGGGTTTGATTAGTTTTTGACTTTTTGTGTAAGCATACAAATCTTCGTTTTATGTGCAGTGCTCCTGCCTCGAGAGCTACAGCTGAAACATGGCTGAAACATGCAGCACTTTGAGTTGCATACTTGAATAGTTGGAAAAAGTTCAGGGAACTTTTGAGTGTATCCTCCAACATCCTAGAGAGGCCTAGACAGTTTCTAATTTTAACCAATGATCAGGTCTTGAGGCTACAGTAATGACGTGTCTGTATGATGTTTTCTTTAAATTCAGTTAATGTTTCAAAAAATTCTGTATAAATAAGAGCGATGTGTTTATTTATTTTTGATTAAATGAAATAATTTAACAAACTTGTAATCGTAAAAAATTACAAACATATGAAAGGATATACATGTTTCTTGCTCAACAAAGCACGTTAATTATACTCCGTATGATTTATCTCGAATAACTAGAAAATGTTATTTTTAATTAATATCAAACATGACCATTTAGGCACTTCCGTCGTTTGGGCAACCTGTGTTTTCATATGTGGTTCCGTTTTACGCATTAATAATTTGTGACAGTGCATTAAATAGAATATTGTGCTGACATTCAGAAGAATTAGTTGACAGAGTTGGAGACTTGGAGTTCATGTACGCACACTACCTACTTTCCTGAACGGGAAACATAACAGAAAATAACTTGGCCCTATCATGGAGGAACCAGAACCAATTTCTTATACCTTATACAGAAGTGAAAGGTCATTAAATTTTTGTACCTTCTTACCTAATTGAGAAGCGTTAAAGCCTTGTTATATTCAGTTGTTTCCATCAAGTGCGATTTCTGTTTCATGCTATTATGACACTTGAACCAATCTGGTTTTGGAAGTCGGTAAGAGTATTCCTGCTTATACTAAATTCTAGCTTCATGGCGGTGACATAATTATTCCATCATTATAGACAAATGAAAAAAGTAAAATATAATATTATTTATTTATTTGCATGTATAAATATATTAGGAAATACACATGTATTGCGTAAGTTTGGAGTATGAAAGATGAGCAAATGTAATACGTAGTATAGTTTTAGGTAAATAATAATGGGATTTGATGAATTAAGTTGGATGTAAAATATAAATACTGAAATTGAAGAATATACTACATATGACATTGATCGAATACATGCATGTGAAAGTCTTATACGGAGTATATGTTTATGTAACTAATTAAAAATGATAAATTTAGTTACTTATTATTGGAACTGGAAAAATATTTCGCAGTATTTGAACAAAAATTTGGAGAATAAGGATAGAAATAGAGAAGAGGAAAAACATAAGAATTGACGGAAATGTTGGCAGTTTGTTAATACATAAGGTTTATAACATTATTGGGGAAAAACATGCGACATTAACCTAGTGCCATTAGGGATGGACTCGGGCCGGGTGGCCCGACCCGGAAATGGCCCGGGTCGGGTACTGTTCCGGCCCGGCCTGACCCGGTGGCCCGGTCAGTGACCGGTCCGGGTAGGCCCGACCCGTGGGTTTTCCGGTCCGGGCTCGGGTCACCCAAAACAAGGCCCGACCGGGCCGGGCCCGGTTCGGACCAAAACTATTTATTTTTTTTCATTTTTTGGGTTGGGCTGGGTATTTTGGGCCATTTGGGGTGGTTTGGGGGGTTGGGGTGGGAGGGGGGTTAATTAGGAAGAGGGAAAAAAATTTGATAATGGGCCAGGCCCGGATCCGGACCGGACCCGGTGGTTACCTGGGCCGGTCCCGGGTCCACCACTCCTGAACTGCCGGCCCGCCCGGGCCTAGGCCCGCCCGGGCCTAGGCCCGCCCGGGCCTAGGCCCGCCCGGGCCTAGGCCCGACCCGGACCCGGCCCGGACCCGAGTCCATCCCTAAGTGCCATATAGGCTCCCTCTTGCGGTCAGGTAAGGTGGTCGAATGTACACTGACTGACTTACCCCTGTACATCAGAAAGACTATTTCTAAACGATCTATGATGAAAATCGCATCGAAAATCGCAAAAAGTGCAGACAATTTTTTTTGAGCCGAAAGTGTAGACAGTTTAATAATTTATTTTGCTTTATTCGTCATATTCTCAAATCAAAAGATAGTGAATATTTGATTCCATTGAAAATGATGGAAGGAGAGGGAATTAGAGAAGAAGGAAAAAGATATAGGAATCGACAGAGCGGAAGATGTCATTTTTAATTTTAGTATAAGGTCTAACATTATTTTGGGTTGGGTAAACAATACAACATGCGACATGGTCCTATTGCATAATTTACCACTAATATAGTACTCCCTCCGTTCCGAAATTATCTTCATTCTTTCCTTTTCGGTCTGTCCCAAATTTATCTCCTTTCCCTTTTTGATAAAGAATATGTGGTTCAAAATCATTCTTACACATTTCTCTCTCCTCTGCATAACTCTCCACCACACAAATCTCACTATCTTAATCTCCGTGCCCAGTCAAAACCGAAGTTAATTATGGGACGGAGGGAGTAAGATACTAAGATGCTATTTAAGGTGAAACTCTCGCTCATTGAACATTACTACTATGGGTGGACCCGGGCCGGTCCGGTTCCGGTTCTGGGCCGGGCGGGCTTTTTTTTGCATATCCTTGGGCCCGGAACCGCCCCGGGTTGATACCGGGTCCGGGCCTAACCGGGCCGGGCCCAATTCAATGTATTTTTTTTTTTGCTTTCTTGTTATCCCCCGACCCCACCCCCCACCTCCAAACCTCCCCAAAACACCCAACCCTACCCTAGGAAAAGAAAAAAAAATGACCCGGGCACGGCCCGAACCGCCCGGGCCGGTTTGTCCAAAACTGGGCCTGAGCCCGGCCCACCCGACCCACCCAAACGGGCTAAAAGCCCGGAACAGGCCAACCGGTCCCGGTCCGGTCCGGGCCCGCACAGTAGCGGGCCGGGCCGGTTCCGGGCCGGTTCCGTGCCGGCCCGGTTGAGTCCATCCCTAATTACTACTAATTAATCCCATCCATAAAAAACTAATTAATTCTGGTTAATAGTGATTAAAGGTATCAATGCAGGACTTCTTACAACAAATTCGAACCATACATGTGAGCCTAGATTCATATATATCAGATTTGCTCTCGAGCATTTCTGGTTTTGCCACAATAAAGTAAAAATACTCTTGCTTTATATAAAGATCCAATGCACAGTATGCACTACAGTTTTTAGTCATAAAAATTGTTAAAAAGATAATTGAAGCAAAAAATAAAAATGGAATTAATAAGAGTCTAATAGCAGGTACATGAATTAGTCAATTTTGAACAATGTACTCAAATCTAGATTGGCACATAACTGCAAGATGAACCTGCAACAATTCCACTACTAGCTTGTAATATATAAATGTTCATACATTTTACTACATAGTAAAACAACAGCAGCAGACCACTGCATGTTACAAGGGTTACATGGACAACTAGTCATTTACCATGAAGAGTTGTAACGGTCTCGGGTTTTTCATATTCCTAACAATCAAATTCTAGATAAATTGCTATACAACTAAATGGCTAGTGACTCTTCAAGTTAAAAAAAAAAGAGGTGCAGACTTCTGCATTCCTCATTCTCTCTATATACAAACTGAACACTGATGATGGGGTGCAAAGATCACACAAGCACCGGGTTATTGGTTCCATCGGCTTTGTTTCTTTGACCACATTTCCATATTCAGCTATTTTATCTCCGTGGTCAAGTCTATCTTTTACCCGTTAGTGCCTATTGGTGTACAAACATCATCAACCTTATCATCGCTATCAAGTTTGTCAAACCCCTCTCCTCTGCTTTTGTCATCTACAGTTTCTTGTTCGTAGCTTTTGACCAAATGGAAATCTTCTGAAATGACATCATTTGGTATTGTTTCTCGCAAAACATCTCGTTGTTGCTTTAAAACAATATCACATGGTGTTTGTTTCATTTCTTCAAAATCAGGTGCATCTTCCTCATCATTTCTGCTTAGCCCACTTGAGGTGACTGTTTGATCCAATAAAGTAGGAGAACTGGTATGAGTGGCTTCCTTAGAAATAAGAAAAGACTCAGAGGGCTTTGTCTCTTGGTTGGCAATAGCAGTGATTGTTGAGACAATATCAGGATTTGGTGTCTCTATATCAACCCAATGATCTCCCACCCAGTCCTTTGAAATTCTTATGTTCTTACTGTGTGCAGTCAAGAATAGGCTCTCTCCTAAAAAGATCACACAGAAAGCGGAGGAAGTCGAAGAACTTTTAGGTTCTAATAACACAATTAAGCAAAACTATATGTTCAAGTAAAAAGATCATACAGATATGGAACTCGACAAAAAAACTTACCGGGAATATAAACTTGATAGCCTTTGGCCCCGTTGCAAGTGTCTTCAGTAACAATGCCTTCCCACCAGCCATCACTCCACCAAGCATCAACTGCAAGTCCAACCTCAAAGCTAAGGTCGCCTTGTTCTCCACAAGGTTGTGCTGGTCTGATGGTTGGACGGAACGGATTTCGTATTCCATGTCTATCTGGTCTGGCTACTTTAAATGCAGGGACCCACTCCTATTATGTATTACAATTTGTTATTTAAAGAAAGTCACTTTCTCATAAATAAAAACTCCTGAATCAAATTATTAGCTCAGTCAATGTGATTGTCATCAAATCAAAAATATTATTAGCTCAGTCAATATGACTGTCATCAAATTAAAAATTTATATGTAATATAGTACTGCACATATATCAAGTGCCTGAAAATACATACCTCAAGGTAACCACAACCATCAACATCCTTTATGTCATCATATCGGATTTTTAATTGTCTTTTGGATATCTCCAGGACAGTGCACCGGAACCAGCAGCCTCTCATTCCACTATCTTGGCAAAGAAATTCAATCTTTTCACCAGCCTTAATGTTTAACATATGCCAACGCTGGCCTTCAACGTGTTTGTGAGAGTTCAATCCCCTACCACTAAAAAAACTACTTTTCATCTTTGGATATGATTTTTCAAATGTCTTAATCTCATGCTCTTCATAATTTCTAGGCCTTTTAGATCCAACTTTTATTTCATCTCCTGCAGCAAACTCTTCATCTTCAAAAAAATCAGCACTGAAACATGAGAAAATCGGTTGATTAAAATAGCCACGCATTTTAGCCAGCTCAAAAGGCTTTACTCTGTTGTTCTTGAATTGCCTACAGCAAAAGTGTAGTCTTGATAGCAAGTCACTTGGAAAAACTGCTGCACATTTATGATAATGTGCCCTAGTCAATACAATGGCAGGACCATCAACACACTCTGCACTGATGACTTGAGCACAAGGTGTTATAAAAACTTCTCTTGGATTTAGATTTCGCAAGGCGACAACGCCTATGACTTCCCGATTGAAGTGAAACCATCTTACTTTAACCTTTTTCTGACCCTTCCTATCCTCATACAAATCCTCCAGATATGCCAGGTAACGATTCTCCTTTTCGGCCATCACAAAGACAAATGAGTGTATCTGCATTATTCAGGTAACATGATTAAACGACTATTTCAATCAACAAATTTTGTTAAAAGGAGCAGGTAGAGTGTAAACCATTTAAGGAGGTGGACCCTACACACCAAAAGATAGGAATATGACAATTTACATGATATGAGCTTACAATAAGATTAAAGCATTGAGAGTTAAAATGCTTCAAGCCCACGTCAGATTGAGTATATCATTTCCTGGAATATTGTGAAAAAAATATTTCTATTGCCTCAAAATTTACTCCATCCATCCCTAGATGGAGATGCAATTTGACCAGACATGAGGAAATTAACTTAGAGCTGAAAGAAATAATAGGAACCAGACAATTCTTTCCTTAAAAGGAAATGGGAGGAAACTTTGGGACTGACCAAAATGAAAGTGTACAAAAAATTTTGGCACTAGGCAGACGGGGGGGTATAAACATTTTTTGTAGAGGATGTGATATTTTATGGAGGTCAGAAAACTCACAGCTATTGCAATCCCATTCCTGCAAAATCCTGGATAATGCTTTAGCTGTTTACCGCATGTCCATGGTTCTCCTGACCATACTATATCAGGACAAGGTCCATTCAAGTTCCTAGCAAGACGGACCTGAATCCACAGAAAAGATGAGCATGACTAACAAGTGATGGCGTGAACAGTAACAAGGTTTTAAAAGGACGATCTTACCTTATCTGCCATCTCATTTTCTTCAAAATTGACTCTGGATACAGGACCATCTTTAGACACTTCTGTAAATTAAATGGTGAGAAAGTTAAAAGGAAATAAAGTATTTCCAAATACCATGGCACAAAATGAAGAAAGCACAGAAACAATGTACTCTTTACGTAAAATGGAAATTCTCACAAACATAAACTACTCTAATAGAAGAGTAGGTTTCTAATAATGAAAGAATCATGCATCACAAATATTATAAGACAGGATCCATGTGAACACGAGGGATCTGAAAAGAAACGTATAAGTTTGAGTCTGACTTTGAAGATTACATATGAATCAGGAAATTAATACTTAATGTACAAGTTTCACCTTAAATATTACCAATCACATTCATCAAAGTTCACTAGTAAAGCGAAGCAGGCAGCTTGTGCGGCATTAAATGAAATAGGTAGACTAAACATAATTACGTTACCTCCTTAAGAAAGTAAAAGAGATATAATCAGATGTTACATATTTTATATCCTTATAAAGTAAATAGAGGGTGCTATGTTGTTTTAAATACACAACTGATTAAATAGAACCATGTCACCTTGTGGTGAATCTCTGATTCGCTCAATTTGATATGGTAACTATTTGGTGAGACTCTGCAAATACTCAAAAGGTGAAATAACCAGAAAGGCTTAGTAATGATCTGACCAACACCTCAATACTAAATTTGACTTGCACTTTGGTGTAAGTGTCCACATACTCACTGGCAACAACTTGAAAACTAAACATATCCTACGGATTGAAACTAATGCAAGATAACAATAAAAGTAAAGGTTTGCTGAAATAGTAAAGCTAGGGCGGGATTAAATATGGCCATTCTATGATGACATTCATGATTCATGTGTAGAAACCAAGTAAAAAATGAGCTGCCACTAATGCATGACAAATTAGCAACAAAATGTCTTTAGCATCTTAGGGCAATCTTGCTACTTTCCCATCAATGATCCATCCCTTTAATTCACATTCAGAACAAAGGAAAAGATACCCAAATCTTCTTGATTCACATAAAGAAACAGTAAACTAATCCAAATCTATGAGAAATAAAATAGGGAAGGCTAAGCATACTTGAGCGGTAATAACTTTGCCTATTTTGCTTGGATAGCATAGATGTGAGCCAATTCACAACCTCTCTCCGCGATCTCCATCTGAAACCAGAGTGAACTGAAGTCTCAGCACCGTGTACTTTCAAGAACTCTTCCGAAACCACATAGAACATGTGACGAACACTTCTCTCGGTGCCAATAATTGCAAGCACGGATTCCCCTGAACTATCCTTCAAGAAATAATGAACCACACGATTGCCTCTCTCTTTTGAAACAAACAGTTCCTTCCATTCAACAAAACATTTATCTTCAGCCATTCTTGAGCAGACTAAGTCCGAACCCTATATAGTCATAAGTTCAGAGAAACCCTAAAACCTGAGAGATCGCTGCCGTTCACAAACCCTCAACTAGCAAAAAGTTCTAAACTACCTGGGTTCCCTACTCCTTAAGACCTACATATCTTCACTCGCCATAGCTATAAAGAGGCGAAACGCCCATATATACAGCTTTCCGCCAGATGATTTCCAGATGCTAAGGGCCAACAGGAATTGGTGCCACAATCATATAAGCTGGGGAAAGAAAGTCTAGCTCCTCGGAAAACCCGAGGACATTCCTTAAAGACAAAGAATCTCAAAGATCTGCGACAAATCAGAGACCAAAGTCAAGAAATTAAGAGGTTCCAGTTGGAAAATCCCTTGACACTTGCTGGAGTTTGCTCACGTCTAGCCCCTCTACGAATCGCCACAAGAATGCAGCGTTCAGCAGCCTGCAACAGAAAAGAACTGTCTTTTAGGAAAGAAATGCTAGATGTTGATAAGGATTCAAGTCAGACGCCCGGTGGTGATGGTTCAAGGAGAAGCTTTTGCTTTACGTTTAGACTAAAGGTTTGGCAGATAGTAGAGAGATAAGATTGTAGAGAGAGTTTTTTACCTGTTGGAGAAGCGGTGGACATGGGAAAAGGGTTAGTAGCAGAGCTATGAGAGAGAAGGGGGCGAGGGAGGGAGTTTGGGCATGGTGATGGCTGGTTAGAGGATTGGGTCCCCCGGAGAAAAGGAGGTAGAATACTGGGGACGTGAAAATGATGTAAAATGCTAGCACATTGACCCAGTGGCCAGTACTAGTTTGGGATTTGAGGCAGCTAGAGATATTAAAGGGTTACTTCTTTCAAAAAATATTATCCAAAGAAAACTTATTTTTATAAGAATAGGATGAAAATGTTTATGAATATTGTATCATGATCAGTCAAATATAGAAATTGAAAATACAGTACTTTGACTAAAATTACTACAATAGCAACTATACTTACGAGATAACATATATTTTAGTCGTAATTATTTCTTATTAAAACCATAAACCAATTTAGAATTAAAATGTGATAGAAATAATACTCCCTCCGTCCCTAAATGTTTTTCCAAAATAAAGTGGCACGCTGATTAAGAAAGTGAGAATTGTGTGGTGGAGAGTTCTGCAGAGGAAAGAGAAATGTTGTGAAGCACAAATTCTTTGCCAAAAAGGGAAAGTGAAGTTCTTTTTTGGACGGACGAAAAGGGAAAGTTGAAAGTTCTTTTAGGGACGGAGGGAGTACTTTTTTTTCTTTTAGTTAACAAAGCAGGACACATCTTAACTTGGACAAAAATGAGACCAAACATTTATACATGGAGAAAAATCGCCTTAATAAGTCTATCCTAATTCAACATTTGTCCCTCTCCTTTTGAAGCTGAAACTCCCACACTCCTCGGCTTATCGCGCAACCCCTTCATCGTCGTAGTCATCTCATGCCTGATTTCATAGCATCTCCCATCGAGCATGCCTTCCACGTCAAGTTCTTTCCGTGGAGAAGAAGATTCTCGCCTTTCTCCACTCGCACTTGATAGCTCCCATATGTTGGTATGTCAAGACCGCAGTAGCATCAACATCGTCCTCTCTGGAAGCATTCGGAATGCATGACCTTTGTTGGGCCATTGATGAGCATCGATGTAAAGCAACAAGTTTCTGAACTAGGGGCAATGACTCCTTTGCAGATATGGTGAACACGTTTGATAATCGCCGATGAAATTCTGGAGAGGCGAGCAATGGGCATAGAAGTTTGAGGGCTACACCAGCGGCAATCGCTTCGAGTTTGTGATTTTTGAGATGAGCAGTTTGGAGTATTTAGGTCTAACATTACCAGGCAGAGATGGCGAAGAGACAAAGACATACATGGTTTCAAACTGGGGCGAGAATGGCAGTGCAACCATTAGGTTTGCACTTTGGTGGTGCCACCTATGAAGGTAGGGTTTGCATGGGTATCAACAGTGCGAGGGTTCGGGTGGCGGGGTTGGGGTTGGGCCGATAGTGGCAGCTGCAATGGTGGGTGTATTGTTGGTAAAGGAATCGAGTGTAATTACTCAGGCGGCGGGGTTACCAGTGGTTATCCAGCAATAGAGCGACGATGAGTAAGGTCACTGAGATAGTCGTGGGGGATTGGTTAGTGTAGTGGTTGGGCTGTTGAGCAGGTGTTGGTGGCGCACAACCCAATCCAACCTTAGCCCAAAAAAGCGATCAGGTTGACCTGATTTATTTTCTCGTGGGTCAAATAACCTAATCCAAAAGGGGGAACTCGAACCGTTAAACCATTGCACTAGTAGCAGGTAGGGTTTACTTATTTTCTACCCGACCTCCTTTCAACCCACAACTATATATGTATACATATCTATAGTACTAAAACGCCGTCGTTTAGTTATATATACATACATCCTATATATACACATTGATCACAAACTACGGGAATCCCTTCAATGCCTCTCCATTCCATCCTAAACCTTAACCTGAACTCTTTCTCAACTCTTTATCTATGTGAGTCTGAGTCTTCAAATTCTCTTATCGTATATGGTCAGTACTCGAGTATTGTGTGTTTAGTTGTAAACTATCAAGCACAATAGTTGTCTATGTTGTGCAAAAGTAATGATAGCATTTTGTACTAAAAAAGACAGGAAATCGGGTAAAAACCCTATTATGTGCCAGAAATGTGAAATAAGGTCAAAAGCAAAGAAATTGAAGTCAAAGGGGATAAAAAAACTGAACTTCTAAGTCAACTATTGAAGCCAAAATGCACCTGAAACTATGTAATTGCGCTTTGGGAACCCATCGGCGCTGGTCCAACCACCTAACCGGCGCCAATCACATGCCCAGAATGGTCCCGGTGTGGTCTTATTATGCAGAAAACAGCACAACGTGCAAGTTTCTAGTCAAAATCATATCCTAGCCTATTTAAACCCCTGGATCCATCACAAATGAATCATTCAATCTTGAGTTAGTTTCTGGTTTCTATATTTGTTCTTCGTTCTTCATGGTGTTCTTGAGGTGTAGAAACTAATTACTTCCAACCATTGATGTTTAGGTAACATTTCCTTTATTTTTTTTCATATTCTTATACATTCAAAACATTATAATCCTTATTAATATGAGCGCTAGAGGTTAAGTCCACAAGCCAAGGCTCGGGGAGAACCCTCATGCCCGATAAGTTTTTTATATTTGTTCTAAGTCAAGTTTTATGATTTATTCTTGTTGAATTTAACTTTCGATATATGTTATACAACGTAATAGTGTAATACTATCGTATATGTATTGGTATGAAGTAACCAACATTGAAATATCAATTGGGCACTAGAAGAGTAATTCACATTTTACTCTCCTCACCTAAAATCTAAAACCATACACCCACATTGCATAACATCTAGAAGTTTATATGGTCAAAGAAAGTTGCAATATAGATCGTTTTCTAGAAGAATAAACATACAATGTATTGAAAATAGAATTATACATGATCTTGTATGGTACGTGTGTGATCTTAATATTTAATGAGATTTTCTCTAGATGAATGTGAGCGTAACGAAACTCACACGTAGAGAAAATCAAGCTCTCGATCACTGCCTTAATTGGAGTCGGGAATATAATAGCGATACCGTACTCATAATAATTAATAAAGAATTTATATTTAACTCTAGTTAACATTTAGGTGAATCTCAATGCCTTGATCGTTTTATTACATATTCAGAATATCAAACATAAACTCATGCACTTTACTTCCATCCTCTACTTTATTTTTTAAAACTCGAACTTTATAAAACAACGTTTCTCTGTGGTTCAACCCATTATTTTATCGGTATTTTATCACTACATCGGCACTTGTATACTTGCAAGTTTAGCTCGATCATAGGCATATTATTTTCTCTTTTACTCGATCTGACTTCTCATTATCTTTTGATTTTCTTTTCATGTTATTAGTACATTGTTTTTTCAATTTGATTTCTCTTTTTATAGCTCTCTTTTCATTTTTCATTTTTATGAGTACTTTTTGTGAAGGAATTAAAGCATCAAAATCATTACAAAATAATACTCCGTAAAACCAAAGTGCTAGAGTCTGATACAGGGTCATCATCAAACTCTAAGGGATCTAACAATCTCTCCTTTTGATAATGCCAAAATTATGTATAACAATTTTAAAGTTTATAGAAAGAAAGGACTAGTCTTAATCTAAGAAGTATTCATCTGAGTCCTTGCCTTGTTTTTCTTTTCCAGCATGCTGATTCCCTTCTTCAGCTGCCTTAACTTCTCCAGCTTTCCTCTTTTTAGCTGCTTGTTCACCAATTTGTATTTCCAGATTTCTTCTTGTATAAGAAGCCTTCTCTCCTCTGGTCATTTAGCTGAAATCAGGCTTCTTCCATGGACCCTTCTGCCATGTCCCTTTAATTTGAGATGCAGATGGTCTCGAGCTTCCTTCCCACCTTTTGGCATCATACTGCTCCAGCTCTTCGGCTAGGAGCTCCAGTTGAAGTTTAAGATCAATGACTTCAATCTTAAGGCCCCCTTTGATATCTTCTTCCAGATAGCTTGGATTGGGGCCTGAGCGGAGGTCTGGTCCACAATCTTGGTCAGATTTTTGATTTTGTTATCGGGGATGAGGAAGCTGTGTTGGCACTATTGAAATGATTTCACTATTGGTTTTCTTATATGGTCATAATGTTTTAGGAAGTTGGCTGATTCTTCATTGGTGTTGTTCCTTAAGAGCTGCAAGTCTTCTGCCATTTTCCGGGATCATTCTCAACTCGTGGATGAGATTGTCATCTGCTGCTCTTATTGGCTTATTGCTGCAAGCTCTGGGGAGATGTGAGAACTAAGAATAGTAGGAAGGGGAGATTTAAGTACCTGAAGAGCTAGATGGGGCTGGGACTTCAGTGGTTGGTTGTTGCTGAGGAGTGAGGAGCAGACTGCTGCTCGTCGGCTGCTGCTTCTCTCTGCTCTTCCTTTCCTTTGCTTGATTATTCAGTAGCTTTTTCAGTAGTGTCTCGATGGTTAAGATCTTATCACTCATCTAAACTTTACACCTTTCACAGTTTCACATATCACCTATATTTCATGATGTTTTTCATGAGAGGGAGAAAACAGAGATAATGCTAGAGCCCAGACTTTTCATCTAACTATTTCTTCTTAAGAGGTCCTCGATAAAAAGCATAATGCCAAAGTTTTAGGAGGTCCCTTATAAGAAGCAAATTCAAAATAAAACGTTATTGCACTTTTTGAATGAAATTATATTCAATTAGTTTTAAGATATTAATTAATTAGCTCTAAAATTTTGACACTTTCAATGTCACCAACGCCTACTTAGATTGGATTAAGAAACACGAACAAAACATCAACAGCTTTAATGCATACATGCCACTAATGCCAGCAATCATAATAGTAACAGTAATAACACTGCCGATCATGACTTTGAGTGTATTTCTATCATTCTATGGCACATAACCTAGTCAATGGCTAATGCCATAGAATTCAGATAAATAAGTTAAAGCTTCAGTGTTGTTGTTACAAACTTTCCATAACGATGCAGCCTCACCATGGGAGATCGTACCAAAATTCTCACAATCATGAAGAAAGTCGAGCAGCTTTGAATAAAAGGAATCATAGTTCATCAGAAGAAAAGGAACCGGGCGAAGTGAACCAATCCGGTCAAGTTGGATCAATGCCATAAGCTCAAAGACTTCATCCAGTGTGCCAATTCCACCTGGCAGAGCCACCACGGCTGTCTTATCCAAGCCGCTGCCGCTACTAGTTCTAACAGCTGCGTCCACCAACCCATGCTTCCTTGCAGAGAAAAACCTGCAAGTGAGGTATGTTTCTGATGGCAAGTATGGATGAAACTTGGTTGCTGTCCACTCCCCAGCTTCTTTACCTATCCTAAATCCACCAACCGCCTTTCCAGCTTGTAGGGCACCTTGTGTCACAGCATCCATAAGGCCTGGTCCGACCCCCGACCATGACGTACAATCTAAAAGGGCGGCGACCTGCTCCAATAAGAACTCAAATGTTTGAAATTTAGGGAATAGATATCCTTAAAAATGCCTACAAATGCAAGCATTTCATACATGGCAATGCCTAATATGAAACTTTCCCATTCCCTTGTTTCTTTTTTCATCAAGTGAAAACAAAAATGGTTTACACCAAATAAATACTCCATCAGTGATCAGCAACCCCACAAAAAAGATTCCATCTGAAACCTTATTTTGTCCCAAAAAGGATCCTAGTTAACATATTTTGTTGTAAAATAAAAAATTAACAATTTAGTATGATAAATATGTAATTAGAATTGGGGTAATTTGAGTTTGCACCCCATATTATTGTCTAAATTGGACTTTGCACCCCGTTTTTAAAAATCTTTGTTTTTGCACCCCATCCCCATGTGAAAAGACAAAAATGCCCTCAATCAGAAATATGTTGAAGGTCAACAAAATTGTTAATGGAGGGGCATTTTAGTCTTTTCATATGGGGTTGGGGTGCAAAAACAAAGATTTTTAAAAACGGGGTGCAAAGTCCAATTTAGACAATAATATGGGGTGCAAGCTCAAATTACCCCAATTCTAATTACATATTTATCATACTAAATTGTTAATTTTTTATTTTACAACAAAATATGTTAATTTTTAATTTTAGGACAAAATATAAATTTTAATTTTTTGGACAAAAATGAAACTGTGATTGGCGGGCTGTGTGATGATGAGTGCAACAATATTTGGTCACTGCTACTTAACAGTTGGTAACTGCATTGGTAGCACTTTTGCCCTAATGTTAAAAATTGACATTTTTCCAATGAGGTAGCTGCTTAGTACTACCTCCGTCCCATTCAAAGGTTCCAAACCAATATTCACATGGTCAATTAAATCATTCTTAATCTTTTGCTTTATATATCAAATTTAAATTTTCTTGATCAAGCATCGTAAACCGAATAAGGAACCTCTCTATGGGACGGAGGGAGTAATATTTAAGAAATCTTTTCTATGTTACGCTTTTCTTAGTAAAAAATATCACAAGTTTGTTAAAATCAACCTGTAAATATTAAAAACATTTCAAAATGATGATTTTCAACCATTGTACTTTACTGAGTTTTAAAAATTGTGTGTTGGTGTCCTCTACCGTTGTACTTCAATAAATTTGAAAGGTTGTATCTTGGTGAAGACGGAGGAGTAAAAACTTGCCTCTCTTCCCAATTCAAATGCGTGTGTGTAGTGAGGATGGTCAGGACCCACCCTTGAAGAGCCCAAATACACAACACCCCTTCCAAGCCTATGTATCAGTTCATAACATTGCTCCATTTCTTTCTTGACCTGTTTCATCAAATACAACATTGTTAGTCTTCGGAACTAAGGAAACTTGGTTCATTGCTCATGGGACTCTTTTGCCACTTCAAAAAGGCAGCACGACGGCAACTTTGACATCTTTTTTGGAACCTACAAAACATCCCATATTTTATGGGTTCTGTAACTAGGAATGATCATATGAGTGCTTACCCTTATGCTCGGACAACTCTTCCCATTAGGCGGGCTAAATTCAATAAACCCCAAATCCTAACTGAACACAATCCTAATATGTTTTAGAGTTGGTAATTATTCCAAACTCGTTCAAACCAAAATGAAAACTGAAAAAGGGAAAATTCTGGAAATAAGAGTAAAACCATTGTGGAATTTAAAAATAGAAGTACTATGTTTTTATTTCCTAAATAGGAGTAAAAGGTGTTTTTAATTGGGCTTGCATTTTCTAATCTTTTAAGTTCACCTATCGTCTGGTCTAATCTTTTAAGTTCAAACCAGATTCGAAAATACTGAAATGTCCACCTCTATATCTTGCCTGTTGTCTGTTAGCTGAGGAGAGTGGTCAATCTTCCCCTTCGGAGCAAATTCAAGATCCAAATAATGCAGAACAAAATCCAAAGTCACTAATGCCGTAACTAGTTGACTCAACCAAAGAGAAGAATGACATGCTTGATGCTACCGTCCAGTCGTTGAAAATAAATAAATATGAAAAATCATGATCAATACCTCGTTGGGACTCATTCTTTCTTCAAATTCAATCGCATCAAAATTGCAGAAAATGGCCCTTCTTCGCGGTGGATACTTCACTAAAGAGTAAAATTGCACACTTTTGCGATCGCAATTTCGTGGCAGAAAACGATGAGCTAATGTAGCAGGACTAGCAGCTGAAACGGCCATCTTACTTTCTCTAAAAATCAGAGTAATACGGACTAGAGTAGGAATTTCAATTCTTCTCCGTCCCTAATTGAGAACTCTACCTCAGCTAATTCAGATTAACATAAAAACAAATTCAGTAATAATTCTAAAATATTGTGTTTTTTCAGAACTAATACCTCAACAATTTGTACCCCTTAATACTCCCTCTCATCCCTATTAAAGTTCTCACTTTCCTTTTTGGGATGTCCCTTGTTTAAGTTCACACTTCCACCGTAGGAAACAGAACAGTGCAAAACGGTGTCAGACAGTGTCAAACAGTGTCCAAACAGTGTTAAACAGTGCACTCCATAGTAAAGTCAAATTTATTTTCTTAATCTGTGTGAAGTCAAACTGGAAACTTTAATAGGGACCGGAGGGAGTAAATTTTAAATAGTCTTAAAGTTTAAAACTCTTCATCAACAATAATACTCAAATACTCAAAATATAATTTCGGTTTAATCAGTATAATTTGATTCATTTCCGTTGTTGTTGTTGCTTACAAATGTGTCATGTTTATATATTTTTTGTTCAAATGTTTTTTGTTATTGTTTGCAAATTTATATCTAACATTATATTATCGCTTCTTGGTTCATTATTTTGAGTTAATTTTTTTTATTTCAACTCAAACATTCATACTTTGGTAAACCAAACTCTAAACCGAAACCAAACCGAAACCTAATCGATTTGTATTTGGTACATTTTCTATCAAACCAATTAAACCGAACCGAAACCGAAGAAAACCGAACCGAAATCCGAAATGTCCACCCCTAGATAGTCCTCTATTCTCAACTCACGGAAAGCAATTAATGCTTTCATAAGAAAAAATGACATTCATAAGAAAAGAATTAATACACTATAATTGTAAAAGAAGAAAACATTCGCACTGTGCCTCAAGCGTTTAAGCTAATATCACTTTATAACTTTCTCAAATTCATTTTACTTTATATGATTTTGATAACTAATTTTACAAGATAGCTGAGTTATTAAACAAGAATTAGATAGACCTATTAGACACAACTCATTATATAGGAAACAACTAATCCCAATTATTGCCGGTCCACTAACAATAATCCCAACTATTGATTATTTTTGTATAATCCCAACTATATGGGCCGTCCGCCAATAATGGTTCATGACCGCATATTACCTGCTCTAACAAGTGAATTTTTAATAGAAATTAAGCATAAAAATTAAAATTTGGGATTATTTATAGGGATTACCTGTTATATCTCTTTAGAAACTATATGAATTTATTTATAGTCGATCACGTCGTACCATTATTGGCGGAAGGTCCCTAAAGTTGGGATTATTCTGATATAATCGATAGTTGGGATTATTATGAGCGAACCGCCAATAGTTGGGATTATTACAATCAATTTTTCCATATTAATATGTGTATATATACGGGGGACGGAACGGGGATGGACGGGGGACGCATAACCCATCACCCGCCCCATATTTAAGCGGGGAGGAAATAATTCTCTCATCCTCATACCCACCCCACCCCACCACAAGTCCCCCAACGGGGCACTTCCCCACGGGCCCCCGCCCCCGTTGACATCATTAAAATTGGCCCTAGGAATAAAGAGTAAAAGAGACCTCGGAATCTTGCTCCCCATAACTCTTGGGTTCAATATTCTAAAAAAAAGAAACCATTCTTCATGTACACACCCTTGTACACACCTTATACACACCATGTTTGTGAAGCTTTTTTTTGTCTGTGAATCTGGTTCACAGACAATATTTTGTTTGTGCAAAACATTGTCTGTGAATCGATGTTCACAGACAAAAAAAGCTTTCACAGACATATGTGTGTACAAAAGTGTGTATAAGAGTGTGTACAAACATCATTTTTGAAAAAAAACTTCACGGAGTAGGGATATTTTTACTTGGACTGGTTTTTTATTTGATCTGATCTGAACTGGTCTGATTTGGTCTGATAAATGTGTGGTCTAGTTTAAACCGCACATCACCCATTTATTTGCAAAAAGTTAGCGGAGAAACACAAGGGAGTTTCTAAAAGCACTGAAGATTTGACTCTGGTCGGATTCGGATTTACTTGTCTAGATGCTTTGGAGATAGTTCATTAACTCCCGAATTGTGGGAACGTAAAATCCCGACACCTGAATTATAAAAAAAGTACCCTTGATATCCAAATAAAAATTGACGTTTCACTAGTGAATTAACCAGTCCGTATATAGTGCAACCGGGTGTACGTACACCCGACCCAAGTAAGAAAGACAGCCCAACCACTAATACAGCTCAAAAAATTTCGGTGGCATTTTTGTAATTTAAGCGAAAAATTATGACTTCCGCAAATGAACAATATTGTACTTTTAATGAGCATCAGACCTATTTTATTGAGTATTTAAGAGACTAACAATGAGTATCACGATCTCTTCTTCATATCTTCTAATTCTTTTTTCTTTTTCTTATTTTTTCTTTTATAAAAATTTACTCAGAATTAAATTATATCTATAACTCACTCCTATTAATTTCAATATGTGAGTCTAATGTAATATGATATTTTGGAAATATGTATTGATATGACATTTTTAAAACGAGCATAACATCAGTACCAAATGAGCATACATAACTTACAAAATGCATATTGA